TTTCCCGATAATACATTGTTTTGTTCTCATGTTTGTTTAACAACAGGAGAGGGAAGAAGAACATTGTCTGGTTGATAGTAGTGAATTTTTTAAGTGGAATATTCTTTTTAGCAGTGTTGTTCATCTTTCCTGTCAGACTGTCCAAACCCACCCTAGAAAAACAGAAAGGTTGAGATTCTCCTAGGAACACTCATTCTATTTTTCATTATCAGTATGCTTCACTGGATGGCCACAATAGAGGCTACATGACAAAAGTCAAGTCTGCAAATAACTGTGACCCAGATATTTAAGACTTCAGAAAACTGAAGACAAGATCTGGGACTTAGCCAGCTGGCCCCAAACTGGGAAATTTTCCAGGCTTATAGGGCAAGTAAAAGACTGTGACATTCTGAAACCAGCTCAGAGATGCCACCACTCACCGGCAACACAGTGACCTGTACTTCGTGCTTAAGAAGGAGATTTTAACGCTGAGGATCATATAGAAAAAAAAGAAAGATTAGAAATGTGTGACCAGAATGGTATGGATGGGTGGGAAGACAAGGAAGAGAAGGAAGATAGAAAACATAGACCCAAACTGAGGCTGGTCCTGTGGGGGACTCAGATCTGTCCAAGAATGAGGGCAGCTCCCCAGAAAGTCTCCTCGATTGAGGTCCTAGAGAGCTACACTAACACGAGAGAGAGTCCAACTGGCCAACTTCGTCCACTTAACAAAAGCTTTGTTGTCGGAGGGGAGAGAGGATTCTAAATACAGTATTGTGTCTATCACTCAACAACTCCTTACTGAGCATCTGTGATGTGCCAGGCACTGTTCTAGGTCAGGGCAGAAGACACAGTCAACAAATGAACAAACCCATGTACAAGAGAAATTCAGACAAGTGCAATGAGGAAAATAAAGGAGAGTGATGTAATGGCACCATTACAAGGGAAGGGAGGGAATATTTCAGCTAGAGTCATCAGAGAAGGTCTTTCTAAAGAGATGAGTCTGAATGAAAAGGGAGCTATCCTGTGAGTGAGCCAGCTGGTAAGATAGCATTGCATCGATTGGATTTGACCATGGAATTCACTGGTGACTTTACAAAACCAGTTTCATTGGAGAAGTGGTGTAGATGCCATGTAGGAGTGGGGTGCTGAGGTGGGGATACAGGAATGTGGGGCAAGGCCGTGGAGTTGGAAATTGCAGATAATGGCCCATCAGAGAGCAAAGCTTCCTCAGAATTGAAAGGATATGAGCAACTGTGTGAGTTCCTTCCTGGAACATTGCTGAGAGGGAGAGTTAGACACATGCAGAAAAGAGAAGGAAAGTGCTTATGAAATCAGCAGAGAATCAGATCCAGAATACATGTGGAGGCTGGTTTTGACAAGAAAAGGGATACACCCTCGGTATTAACAGGAAGAGGAGAAAGGAAGGGACTTCTGCAGGGCTGGTGTCATGGCTCTGACGGTGGGGAGTTGAAAGGGTTTCCATCCCATTGACTCTATTTTCTTAACAAAGTAAAAACAAGGCCAACAGTGAGAGTGAGGGCTAAGGGAAGGTGTGCAAAATGGGAGATGAGGGAAGAAAGTGTAAACCAATTATCATGAGAGTGGTTAAGTTTGGTAGGGAAATACTATACTGTAAAACAGTGTCAAGTGCCTACTTAAGACACTTAAATTTTATGGTTAATTTATCTAATGAAAAAATCAAGCTGCCTGGTTATTGATTTTTCTCCAACCATACACAGTTGTTCAGTTGTAGGTACAAAGAAGGTAGATAGTTAGGCTCAGCCTGTATTAAAGTCCTCCAGGGAGTGTGAGAGGCAGAGAAGTAAATAAAGGAACTGAGATTCTCTACATGATTATGATTTGAAACCAGAGATCCAAGCTGAGCAAAAAGACAAGTGAATAATACTTGACAGATAGTGAAGTTGTGGTGGAAATTATGGGGTGGGTGTCTCAGGGAGGATGTACCATTTCACTGCGGTGAAATAGTGAGGTCTGAATCGGTGATGTCAGAGGGGAAGGATTCGGGATGTGTTGTGGCACTGAATGGCTGAGGTCATGTGAAGAAGGCAGAAGAAGGAATTTCATAAAACTAAGTGCAGAATGAGCTACCCCACGCACTAAGAAAAAGCCTGGGGGAACTGAGGCAGAACTGGCTTCAAGAGCTATGAGCCCAGGATATCATTTCCAAATGAAGAGTACCAGTAGAATGTCACCAGGCCATGTGCAGTGATTAAGAACGTGCATTCTGGAGTCAGACCACCAGGGTTCAAACCCGCTTCTCCACTTTACACAGAGCCACCTTGGACAACAAAAATAGCAGCCAACACATCCATGGTATTTACTGAGCACTTTACAAGTATTTATACCTCACAATAACCCAGTGAGTCAGGCACCCATATCTACAGATACAGATGTGAACAAGTTTGGCCTCTGTAAAGCCCATAATGACGTGATAATGAGAGTTGCTACCTTATGGAGTTATCGTGTGTGTTCAGTGAAATAAACTGCACAAAGGGGTTAGCATACTACCTGGCTCAGTGGAGTGCTCAGTAAACGTTAACTGATACTGTTGGAGGAGAAGAGCAGGGCTGGCCTCACGGGGCAGAGCTTCAGCAAGAGGGAATAACGCTCTGACAGCAACCCTGGGAAGCAAGGACACTGACCCACTTCTGGCCTTGAGGAACATGGAACACGGAACACACACACAAATCAAATAAAAATCAAATCCTGGCTGAGAGGATCCAGCTAGCTTCAGGCAAAGAAAAGAACCAGAGGAAGGAGTCAGAGAAAAAAGCTAAGAATATTGGCAAGTTTGCTGCTCAAGAAAGAGGGGTGTTAGAGCCTGGAGCAAGCATGAGGGTAATGGAGGGTATCGGGCTGGAAGAGAAATGTACAGCGGAGTGCGGGTGGGGCTGAGGGTCCCGCAGGACCTCATCACACATGGGCGTGCACACACACACATCTGACAGGCTGACCAGATCTCAACCCTTGAGAAAGCTGTGGCCCCACTTTGTGGTAATGAGACTGATGGCCATAAAAATGACAGCCGTCCAAAGAGGAAAAGCTACTTGGCAAAACAGGAAACAGGTGGCCTATTTTCAAAGAGCAGTGTTTGCATTAATGTGACCAACAAGATTTAGCCTTGAATCCAGCAAACACTTTTTGAATGTTCACTGTATGGGGAAAACCCAAAACACCTGGAATTAATTTATTAAAAATTGTGTATTTATTCTTACATGTTTAAACTCCACTCACCTTCAAAGTACTGTCTAATTGATGCAATACCCCTACTGAGACATTTTTTCCACTGCTTGAAACAGTTTTCCAACTTACTAGTTTTGGTTCCTGCTAGTGCTTCTGCCATTTTTTGTTTGTTTGTTTCACCTTTTCCACATAGGCAAAACATTTCCTTTCGAGGACTTTTTTCATCCAGGAAAACAAACAAACGAAAACTCACTTGGGGCGAGATCTGGTAAATAGGGAGGGTGGGGCATGGGGGTCATGCTGTTTTTAGTCAAAAACAGCTGAAAACAGTGTGGGGCAACTGTGCTCATAAATCACCCATCATGAAATGGGCAAATGTGTTGACTCTTCAAAAAAAATTCACTGAAGTCGAATGCAGCCTTTCACAGCAGCAGCTAATACACGGATTCAGATGGGTTCCTAGACCACTCACCTGGTGCAGGAAGCCTGTACTACAAGAGGCCCACCCTCCAGAAGATAATTCCGCAGTTTTTTTTTCCCTTATAAGACATTAGACAGCACATAAGGTGGAATATTTCAGAGTCCTCCACCCTGTTTACAGCTGGGGATGTAATGATTACCTTGAAGGAGACAAGTCAAACGCATCTGCCCACACTCTTTCCCTTTGTTCCTCTCTTTGCAGTGGTTTCTCCTCAGTCTACCTCAGTGGTTCTCAAAAAATTACTGTAGAGAATCGTACCCTCAAAAACATGTGACCAATTTTGTATGGATAATTTAAAGGATTTCAAGAGTAATTCTGATTTTGCCTCAAACACTAACTGTACAGCCCTGTTCCAATATTCCTGTTCCAATATTTATTGATACATAGAGAGGCTTGCATTTTGGATGATAAGACAACAGGCAAGATGGATTGTTTCTAGTCCCATCTCCAGTGGTTGGAGAGCTGATCGCCCTAAAATCTCCTTTAAACTTTGGGTCACAAGGCAGTGGTACGTTGGCAACTTTCTAACAGAGTACTACATCCAAATAAAGAGAGGATGTCTCCTTAAACTGGCTTACAGAAGACAAATCTTGGAAGTACAGCTGAGGTCTGAGGAAAACCAGAGGTGGAAAGACATGGGATAGTGAGAGTGAGGCTTCTCATTAATTGATGAGACCTGTTTGTGTGTGTATATATACAGAGAGAAAGAGGGTGGGACAAAATTAACTTTAAAATTGTGAGTACACAAAGCAAGGAGTATATTCTTATTATTACTTACTTTATTATTTTCCATACTACACACATACATACAATGTTCTTGGTGAAACTGATATGAGGCTAGACCCCCATGTGATCAGGTAGGACAAGATTACAAATGGAAATTCTCAAAATCAAGAGAAATATTTGAGTGGTGGATTTTAGAAAGATTTGTAGGTGTTTGGTTGTTTATATCTTTGTTACTTGTTCACTTTTGATTTTTTTTAGATTCAAGCATCAGTAAGCATACCAGTTTATCTGTTTTTCAAGTGAACTTTGAATTGTAAGAACTTTTTGCCATTCCACAGAAGTCTAATATTATTTAAAGAACAGATATATGTTTTTTTTAATTTAATTATTGCTCAAGTACAGTTTTCTGTCTTTTACTCCCATCCCAGCCCACCCCCCAGTGCTCCCCACCTCCCTCCCATCCCCCCCCCCTTAGTTTTTGTCCATGTGTCCTTTATACTTGTTCCTGTGAATCCTTCCCCTTTTCCCCTGAAATTCTCTCCCCTCTTCCCTCTGGTCCCTGTCAGCCTGTTCTGTATTTCAGTGTCTTTGGTTATATTTTGCTTACTTGTTTGTTTTGTTGTTTAGGTTCCTGTTAAAGGTGAGATCATATGGTATTTGTCTTTCAACCCCTGGCTTATTTCACTCAGCATAATGCTTTCCAGTTCCATCCATGCTGTTACAAAGGGTAGGAGCTTCTTCTTTCTTCCTGCTGCAAAGATATATAAATGCTTATAATTGCAGCACCCAGCAATATGTTTTTAGACCCCTAATAATTACATGAGATTAAAATTACCGGCAATTTATTCACAATTCCAGGTAATAAAGACAAAAGTCAAGCCCATTATATTAGATCAAGTAGACAAAACATTTGGGTGACTGAATTGTTTTACTTCTCAACCATTACATTTGACAAGGTAGAGACAATATTAAAATGGCAATGGAAACTTGCTTGTGGTTGATAAACTTCATAAATGAACTCAGAAAACATGATAATAAAGGAATCTGTTCTTCCTGTAGATTTTGAAACTATATAGCTACGAAAATGATTATTGTGTTCTTTGTTAATAGAGAACATGTCCAGGTTACATTGTATTGTAATATTGCAGGTAACAATGCAGCCAAGAAAATGTTAATATCACTAAAAGAATACCTTAGAAAAAGATACCTTATAAATGAATCAACTTTTACATACATTACACCACTGAAAATACCTTAATGAGCAAAATTGCTTCATATGTAATTATCAGAGGACCTCGCACCCTGTCTTTAATAATGTTGGTGTACATGTATGTATTTGAAATACGTGTGGCTAGCAGACACAGACTTAATTTCTAAATTATATCCTGGACCTAAAATTCTATACTTGGGAAATTCTATTGTCAAAATCTATCAGAAAGAAAACAAGCAATCATCATCACAATCGATTCTATTTTCTAGATAATGAAATTGAGTGGCCCTGTCAAATCTCAGTGTAAGTTAGAACAGAATCTCAGAGTTCTTTTTATGACTCTAAGAAAACAGCTAATTTTCTTTTCATCCTGATTCATTCTTCTTCCATTTATTGAGCACCAATTCTCTATCAGTTTCTGTGTTTGCAGACACTGGAAGATCAGAGATAAAGGTCCCTGACCTCCAGGAATTTGAAGGGGAAAATAATTTCAATATAAATGAAAAAGTTCTATGAGCCAAGTACAGGATTTAAAATGAGCTCACAGGACAGACAAGTGAACTGCTCAGAAGTTTCTTTAAGGAGCTGATTTCTGAAGGATACATGTGTATGAAAGAAATAGGAAAGATGTACCAAACAGTAGTAATAGGATTGTCAAACATACACAGGAAGATGAAGACTTGGCCTTTTCCAAACTGATGGTGTGAAGACAACAAGAAATACATGGCAGAGTGCATTAAGAAAAGAGTTTGGAGAGTCAGAAAACAGCCAAATAAAAAACATTCTTTATTTCTGAAGACAGAAATAGTTATTTCTAAAGAACTATTAAAGATGTTAAACTGAGAATGACATGATCTGATCATTGTGTTTTAAAAAATAATATAATTTAAGGAGAAGAGTGGATTTTTAATACATTTTATTGATTATGCTATTACAATTGTCCAGTTTTTTCTCCCCTTCATTCCCATCTGCCCTTTATCCCCCTCCCACCATCATTCCCCCACCTTAGTTCAAGTCCATGGGTCATACACGTAAGTTCTTTGCCTTCCCCATTTCCCATACTATTCTTAACCTCCCCCTTGTCTATTTTGCACCCAACATTTATGCTTCTTATCCCCTGTATCTTTCCCCCATTCTCCCCCATCCCCCTCCCCACTGATGGACTTTGTTAGACCAGGGCTGGATTTAGAGAAGAATAGTACAGTGACTGTTATCCAGGAATGACAATGGTCAAAACCCAACCAGTGACAAAGGGAAAGAAGTCAGAAGATACTGAGTATGTATGTCAAAGTGATGAAACTCTGCCACTGATTAGACATGATATGAAGGAAAACATTGAAACCTAGACTGCGTACGAGTTTATCTTGGATAACTGGATGACTCCTGGTCCATTGAAGGAGAGAGCACACTGAAGAAAACCAGGTTCAGTAGAGATTCCAGTTTGACCAGGTTCCTTTGAGGTGCCTGTGACACAGTCAAGGGCAACAGTCCACACAGAAATCTGGGATGTAATGTGGGTCCGAGGGTCACCAGTATGCAGGTCATAATGGAAGGCCAGGAAAGTAAAAAAAGCCTTTCATAGAGAGTGTGTAGATTAAGTGAAAGGTCTGAGCACAGAGCACTAAGAAATACCAATGTTTACGGAAAGGTGAAGGAAGAGGATGCCAGACACATATCGTTGAAAACCATAGAAATTTGTATAATAAAGAATGAGAATATTTCATAGACAAACTGGATAATAATACTGAACACTGAGGAGAGATACAGTAAGAAAACAGATGAAAAGTGTCACATTTAGCAACCAGGACCCTGATGATTTGGAGAGAGAAATTTTAGTTAAGTGATGAGAGTGGATTGCAGGGAATTCAGCAGCAAAGATGAAGTGAAGTGGTGGAGACAAGTAGCTACTGGGGAGAAATTCAGCTATAAATGAATTGGAAAAAATAACCTAGTGGATGAAGGGTGCTGGAGAGCCGGTGGGGGCTTTGTGGGAGTGTGGGTTTGTGAACGTATTTGGTTTTTCTGTTTTTGACTGAGAGACCTCCCCGGGGTTCTGGGCTGAGGAGGAAATCCTGACAGGGATGCAGGAGACGGGAAGAGTCAAAGGGAGGGATCATAGTCGTCGGCAAAAGATACTCAACCACACAGAGAGGAGTGGGATGGATGGAACGACGGAAGACTAAGTCCTGACAGTAGGAAAAATAATCCCTCTAAAACGAGGGAGTAAGTTGCACTGTGGTCTAGCAGGAGCGATCTTAGTAGGAGGGGGTGGACAGGCGAATAGGAAGTTGAGAAGGTTGACTCCTGAGAGGCTTTCCGTGGTTTGGGGGACAAAGTAAGTGATCTGCTGAAAGCCCTGGGGAAGCCTGTGCGCCCGGGGAAGCATTTCAAAGTCTGAAGTAGCTTCATATATTTATGGATGTGCTTGTTTGCTTATTGGTAAATAGCTTAATAAAAAACTAATAATTTCACCATTTAAAACTTTGTCAAAATGAGTTAAAAACCATATTTTTACTCCCCTAACTTTTGTGTCTTAATTTCATTTGAATCTTTGTTCTCTGCCAATAAGCAGCACCAGCACTGTAAAAATATTCCACACAATCAGCAATATGCTTTCTATTAGGCAAATTGCAACACTGCTGTAACAAATATAAAAATTATTGTCCCAATATATTTGCCTTATGTTTACATTTACCATACATTGCATTTTTCTCCAAGATGGTGGGATTCCTTTCTAATACCAGGGGTACAAGACAGGCATGAGAATATTTTAATAGGAAATTTGTGTAAATTTACTTTTTACATGAAGAAAATACAATGTAACCACAGTATGCCTAAAGCCTTAACAAAGAATGTTATAATAAACTGTGACTTGTAATTTTTCTCTTATCCTGTCATTTTTAACTCCACTTTAATTGCATTTTTAATTATCTGAAAGAGAAGAGTAAAAACAAATAACACAATGATTTGCACATAGCCGTAGTTTAGCTTAGATTACAAATTGGTGATACATAACTTTGGTAATTGAAATATGCTACATGAGTGAGATTTTAAGGAAAAAATCCTGTATTTCATATGTGGTTAATAGTTGAATTCCTATGAAGTCACTTTCCTAAGCCAAAAATGATGATTTAAATCTAAGCAAGAAAATTTGGTGGAAGTCTCCCAATAATTCATTGAGAATGTAAATGCAATGAACTATAAATTTACATCACTTGCAAAGACTGAGCTGAACATTTCTCAAAGTAATAAATGTGCTCAATATTTTTTATATAATCTGTTTCTTTCCTATAAAGGACAAATGGCTACTGAGAATGACAAAAGATCAGGCAATCAGAGCAATGCTCATATAAAATAATTTAGCTGTGCCAAGTAAAGATTGCTGTTAGATCTATAATCTTGAATTTGGTACAACCCTTCCACAGCACTTCAGTAACTGGATATATCAAACTTGAGTTTAAACCATTTTCACTTTACAATAGTCAAGAATCAGTCATTGGCAAAAATTTTCAACACTGAACCCAGTACCTCTTTCTAGTGTTTACAAGAGTTGTATTGCGTTGGTGAACAGAAAGGCTACACATATAATTTCCCAGTTATAGTACAGTGTCTGATAGTAGGAAATAAATTTATAATTATAAAATGGGCAATCTGTTCATGAACTTTACCTATTAAATACAAATGGCACAGTTTCAACAAAATAGTTAATTTCAATTAAAATTCCTTTTTTACTACCTAGCTTCTTTTACTTACAAATGTAATTAAACAATCACTTTAAAAGTCTGAAAGTAAAAAATGAAAAATGGAGTTTATTTGTGCTTTCTCTTCTCAACCTTTAAATTTTAGAAGATTAAAGTGTGGTGCTTCGGGACTATTATATAACACTAATTGTAAAGTACTTAGTACATGTGCTATCCTTTATGTCTACAACGCTCTTGTAAAGAAAAACCATGTAAGTGTTCTGCCCAGTAGCAATGCCGTGAAATGCCGGGCAAACATTCGGAAAACAGCTGGCCAGGCCAACTAATGCAGTGTCAGAACACGGAAGACAGGGAAAGTTACCTGGCTCAAAGGAAGATAATTAGTGTCCAGTCTCGGATTAGAATTAAGTTTAAGATTAGGGTTAAACCTTATTGTCCTTTCTATCTAATTAAGCTAATCAGCCATCATACAGTGTTTACTTTTTTTAATTTTTATGTTTAATTGTGGTAAAAAAAATTAAAAATTTTACCATTAAGTGTACAGTTCAGTAGTGTTAAGTACATTCAAACTGTGTTGCAACAGAGCTCCAGAACTTTTTCATTTTGTTAAACTGAAATTTGTTACCTATTAACAACTCCCCATGTCTCCCGCCCCACAAACCCCTGACAACCACCATTCTACTCTCTTCCATTGAGTCTGGCCTGCTGTCTCATGACAATGAAACAATGTATCATCCGTCTTTTTGCAACTGGTTTGTTTCACTTAAAGTAATGTCCTTAAGGTTCATCCATGTTGTAATATGTGAAATGACTTTCTTATTTTTAGGCTGAAAATATTTGATTGTATATGTAGACCACATTTTCTGTATGCATTCATCCATTGATGGACATCTAGTTGTCTTCCACCTCTTGGCTGTTATAAATAATACCACTATGAACCTGGATACACAAAGATCTCTGAAATCCTGCTAGTATTTACTATTTCTAACCAAATAATTATAAACTAAATAAATCTGTTTATAAAACACAGACCATTGCATTTATCCTTTCATTAATTTGTATTTATTTGAGAGAGAGAAACATTGATTTGTTGTTCAACTTATTTATGCATTCATTGGTTATTTCTTGTTTGTGCCCTGACTGGGGATTGAACACATAACCTTGGTGTATCATCGGCCCCATGACCTTGGCATATCAGGAAAATGCTCTAACCAATTGAACTAGCTGGCCAGGGCCTGTATTTATTCTTTATTCTTTAATAAGCAGACAAATCTTTTATAGAGAAAGGGCCTAAACAAAATAATAAATAACTATGCACACAGACCATGTTCATTATGTAACTGGGCAACAACATCAGAAACAAAAAAACATCCCAGATATTAGTGAGGTTGTGTGTGAATCTCTTAAAGCCCTGGCCCAGTTGTTTGACTCACTTTAGCAGTCAAGGCAATTAGAACAGTTCAGTTCGTTTCTCTGGCCTTTAATCCTGGCAGAGCAGATGCCTGCATGTCACTCTGGGAAAGGTTCAGATGAGGCTTACATCACAGGGCTGATTGTGAGCAGCAGGAGTGAAAGGCTGTCACCAGGCAGAGCTTGGAGGCAGATGAATCAAGAGGTAAACACGGAAAGATGAGAAGAGGCTCCCTGGAAATCATTTACATTGTTTGTTTTTAGAATCTGACTTACGCATATATATTTTCTCATTATTTTCTAAAGAACTTGTCAAAAGTCAGTAGGAAGTTCAGGTTAAAAAAATACTTTGCTTTAAAAATAATAATAATAAATGTTGTCCCAAAAGATTTTAATTTTAAATCTGAATTCACACAATGAGAGAAAAACAATATTTAAATTAATAGTATCGCTAATTAACTTCCCAAAGCTCTCATTCATATGTTTGAATCAGAGATAACAGCTCTGTAGAGTGGGAAAAAGTAAGTTTACAGTTGTGAGTACACAAAACATAGTTTATTCTGATATTATTATTTATTATTTTTTGTGTTATTTTTAACTTTATTTATTTATTTAAATTATTGTTCAAGTACAGTTTTCTGTCTTTTACTCCCATCCCAGCCCACCCCCCACCAGTTCTCCCCACCTCCCTCCCATTTCCACCCTCTTAGTTTTTGTCCATGTGTCATTTATACTAGTTCCTGTAAATCCTTCCCCTTTTTCCCCTGAAATTCCCTCTCCTCTCCCCTCTGGTCGCTGTCCCCCTGTTCTCTAATTCAGTGTCTTTGTTTTTATTTTGCTTGCTTCTTTGTTTTGTCATTTAGCTTCCTGTTAAAGGTGAGATCGTATGGTATTTGTCTTTCAACACATTGCGTTTTCTATACAAACAACTGTAAACCTACTTTTGCCCCACCCCATATACTATAAATAGCTATGTTTAAAGTAAAATAGATTCAGTAAAATGAAATTTCAAGTCATCAAAATATTTGTACAACATATAATTTTTTTCCAAAATTCTTTACCATGAATTTTTTTCTTAAAAAGAAAAAGCACATAAATATTATTTTTAAAATACACAGAAAATCCATCAAAACCATCCATTGACCATCAAGTGTCTAAAATTATGGGTTACAAAAGGTTTTCATGTTTACAGATTGAGCTTGATGTGATCAGGAAGAACAGAATTTCATGCCCAGACATCACACGGGGCTGTGATCAGGTTGAGTCCAGGGCATTGTAGTGTCAGGCAGACATTTCCATCACTGGAGGGCTGGTTAAAATTGTGTTCCGTGCACTGTAATGAAAAGCTGTTTTTTTCTAACAGCTCTATGGTGATCTAGCCTAGATTAAATATTTAATGCCATAATCTTAACACAACTGATACTAATTATCTTCATGTTCACAGTCCCCCCCAAAAATCCACAAGAAGACAGCAGTCCCCAGTCGCCCCTGGTCCAGAGTCTTGCTTCCAGAGCCAGGCTAACATCTGTGGAAGTCGTCTGGGAAGCTGATGCCATTTCCTGTCTTGAAAGTAGTTTGGAATAAAAACTAAATATATGTATTCACTTACAAGACTGTCAACTACCACTTCTCAAAAACCTGCAAGACTTATGAGGGCTCCATCTTTTCTGATTTGTTAGGGTATTGAGGGGATTGGAGGAAATTGGAACTATTTTTAGAACAATATTACTCCCTTTTAATAGGTTTAATTAGTTAACAAATAGAAGATGCATTATTCTGACTTAATAGGAGACTGATAGAAATAAAATAATAAATAATACCAAAATGAACTAAGAACATGAGAATTCTTAAATCAATATTTTAGGCATATTCTCAATATTTATCCTGATGATAACATGAAATCACCTGGTATATTTTACATAAAATACTTTTAATTATGGATGATTCTTTGTACCCCCTGCTTGAAATAATTGCCAAGAATTCTATTTTAAATCTTTTAACAAGCAAAGCTGCCCAAGAATATGACATCTTGCATTTCTATGCCAGTAGTTTTCTCACTTTGCAAACTTTGTAAAAGAATTAATGAGATATTTGTAAAAATGCTACTTCAGGGGTCTGAGCCCTGGAGTGTCTGATACAGTAGGAACCTGACTGTATGAATATACCAGGTGATTCTGAGGCAAACAATCTGGGGAGAAGGACAGGCTATATAATTTGTGGTAGGCCAGTGCAAAAGGAAAATGTGGGCATCTTCTTCCAAAATAATCATTTCAACATGGCGACAGCACAGTCTTAAACCAAGATGAGGCCCTTCTAAGTCTGAGCCCTACATGACAACATAGGCCTGGTGCCCATGAAGCCAGGCCTGCTGGGGAGTTCAGAAACATTGTTTCAAGTAAAATTGAAGCCAGGCAACCTCAGATGTCTCCAGAATCCTTAGAAACTCAAATAGATCCTACCCCCCAAAGTAGGCATTAATCCAAGGAACAAGATAGCTTCTCTTTCTCGGAAATCCTTGCGGACTTGTGCCTGAGGACCTTCTTCTAGAACAGAACAATGCCTTTTTAAATTGTGTTTTTGGAAAAATTCAAGGAAGAGCCCAATGTCAATAGCTCAATTTGGCATGAATCTATTTATGTTCATTTTTCTCTTTGATAGCTCTTCTGCAGTTCTATCTGATCCATGAGGCCATTGTAAAGTACAAAGACAGGCAGAGGATTTAAAGAGCAATATGGTATGAGCCTTTTCTCCAGCTGTATACAGTCCTGGCCATGAGCCTGAGCAAGTTTTAAATCCATCCTCTAAACCACATATGGAAAGGGACAGAAAGCAGAAAATGACTGTGAACCAGGACGTCTGTGTTTCCTCAAGGACTGTCCTGCCTGAGGCCTTCTGCCTGGAGGCATTTCCTCCCCATTCAAAACTGACACACAGGATAATGGCTCCTCCAAGCGATTTGTTGGATTGAAAGGTCACATTAGAACACAACGAAAGAGTCTGAGCTAAAATGGTAGTGTCCAGCAATTGAACCAAGGGGGCTTCAGACTTGCTTTCTGAGCTCAAGAGACCTCCGAAACGTGTGTATTTAGCTTACATAACTCAGCACAAAATGTGCGTGAGGGAAACCAAGCCAGGCACAGGAAATGCATCACAGAGCCTATGGGTTCTGAACAGAAAGTAGCAGCTCTGTCAGGAGAGAATTTATTGAGGCAAGTGGCAAGTCATCATACGAAACCAATCATGAAGGAAAAACCATTAGAAAATTCTATAACAATGGTGAGGAGTAGGTGAGAATCAGAAGACTACAAAGAGGGCCCTGGCAAGAACTCAGAATTGGCCTTTAGTCCCAGGAATAGGAAGATGATGATAGATAGATGATAGATGATAGATAAATAGATAGATAGATGATAGATAGATAGATAGATAGATAGATAGATAGATAGATAAAAATATGCCCCATTTTGTGTAGGTAACAGTATAAAGAAGTCATTTTTTGTTGTACACATTGCAATGAATTCTCAAGTAATATATTTTGTTTTCTAATGTCCTGAGTTTAAAAGAAAAAAAAACCCTCAAGAATTATAAATGGACAAATTAAACCAAATGGACTCTACAGACTGTATCATGCTCTTAGTTTTTAATTGGGGAATTAAGTTTTCCAGGTCACAAGTTACAAATTTATTTCTGCGATACTGTTAATTAATTCAAACCAGGTATAGTCCTGATTGAGAATTTCTAGATTATTTCATTCTGCAAGTTGTGTTAAAATAAAATATCCCAATTTGGGTAATTGAGGCGAGTCTTTAATGTATTGACATCAGATAGTACATGGTTGAAACAGACTGTATGTGGTACAAGTTAATGAGGCAAAAAGAGAGAGTGTGGCAGACAAGAGAGGATAGAACATTAACATTACATTGAAATGTGGACAGAAAAGAAAATTACAATAGAAATAAACCTCATGTTATTCTATTTGAAAACTGGCTTCAAAATTCTTATGTTACAACATCATTCATTAGAAGTATTCCATTAAAAGCAAGCATATTTGGGGTTTTCAAAAGACCATGGTCAAGTCATGTAATTTTTCTGAACTTCTGTCTCCTCATCAATAAAATGGAAGTAACTTTGAAAAGTATTAAGATTAAAGTAATACTGTATGCATTAGGCTCTTTCAAGCTTCAAGGAAAAGAGATGCCTATTCTGGTTGCTTCCACTTCAACACCTACAGTGCCAGATCTCCTAGCTGGAGAAGAGACTGACCACCTCAACACTGAGCACCCCTGCTCCCCCCTCTAGCAGTTCCAGTTACTCTACCAGCTTCCCCATCTCTGCTTCTAAGTTTTTTTCCCTCTGATTTATGACTTTCTCTCTTTTCCTATTAGCCTCTGCTGCCTTGTGACATACTTCCTCTCTTCTGGATGCAAGTTTGTTCCAAACCATTTCTACCTACCCTGGTAACATACATTCAAATTCTCAAAAGAGAGACACAGCCAGAAAAACATTTCTGCTGGATACAGTTCTCTTGCCAGACCCACTCAAGGTCACTGACTTGCCTATGGATGTTGCCTTCAGATCATTCTGTTGTCTTATCAGCTGTTGGACAAATCAGAAGGAATCACCTGCAGTAAGGTGTCAAAGGGGGCAATAGCTGGCTAGGCACTTAGAGCATCCAGTCCTGTCTCTTTGAATGGGTAAGCTCTTGGCTCAGTAGGGAGCAGAATGTGCGGATGCCCAGATGTGCTGGAAGTATGAAGTGAAGAGGTAGTGATTGGAATCAGCCTTTCTGTTCTCTCCATTTTCAAATGGTACGCACCAAATCTTGATAAATATCCATCTTGATGAATACCAGGAGGCAAAAAAAATAGTGTGTGTGGCCTTTAGGGACAGGGAATATGAAAAAAATAGAGTAGTGAGAAAGGAGAAAAGAGTAAGTATGTGTGGCAGGAATGAGAAGGCAATGAATCAGGACAAGTGACAGACAATGTGAGCAAAGGAACAGACCCAGAGAAAGTGGGGAAGAGCAGAAAACTCCTAGGGACAGGAAAGGCCAGCCTCCCATACATCACAATCTGTCTGCTTTTAATCTTTATTCCCAACCAACTTCAGAGTCAAATGAGGGAAAGACAGGAGGCAAGAGTCTGAGTGGGCTTCTGATTCCCAGGCATTTCTCACCTTCTGCCTCTTAAAATGCGGTCATTCTTCAGAGCTGAATCTATTTCTCTGACAAGGAGACTTGACTTTGGACGGTGAACACACAATGCAACATACAGATGATGTATTATAGAACTGTACACCTGAAACCTATATGACTTCATTAACCGATGCCACCCCAATAC